AACATCCATTCTCTCTACTGTCTGAAAAATTAATTCGATTTTCAACAAAATTGGTTTTCTAAAAGGCTGAAAAATACAATGTGATATGTGTTTTGGTACAAATTATTGAAAATGTTTCTTCATTTTTCATAACGTAACAAAATCAGCACAGAAAATCAAACCATTATTTTGATCGTTGTTTTGCTACTGCATCAATAAATAAGCTGATATACATATATGCAACATTTATATATATATAAATGTATATCTGCCGACATGTCAACTTTCCTTGTGGCTTTTGTCAAAATGTGAATTTGACTAGTCGCTTCTCCCGTCGTGGAGAGTAGCCTATGTGATGATGACTAAAACTGGTGGTTATTTTCGGATTTCTTGAAAATAAATTCTACTTTCTTGATTTTCAATCTGCTGACATACGAATTCATCGGCGATTGTAAAAATAAAACAATTCGAGCGATTGATTTATGTTCAACTGAACTAACTGACAATTGCATTGCCAAGATTGTTGAGGTAATGAAAAACGCTACGATACGTTATTTTGCTATAGAAAAGAATCATCTATCCTATGCCCAAATGCTAGAAATTATATTAGAAAGAGTATTATGCTATTGGTCTTTTTCTTGTGTTCTTTTTTTTCTTTTTTAAATTTCTTCTCTATTTTCTCTTTTCTAGTGAGAGCTATCATTAGAAAATTTGGTGCTTGCTCCGCGCTGAACCATTTTATTTTTCTCATTGGATGAAGAAAAGGCGCCAATGAGAAAAATAAAATTTAGGCAAAAACCACGTTGATTATGTCGACGTCAAAAAAGAAGGACAGGTATCGAGGACAGGTGATGTCCACTGAAGAGCTGACTCGAATGAGAGAGCGTGTGCATGAGTAACGCTTTAGTCGCATTGTGTCCGGAAGGTGATAAAACAATAATCGACAACACTGATCATCGTGGCGATGGTCGGTTCATTACCCATCCAGCCACAACTCCAGAAAACCCAATTTAGTGAAAAGTAGGGGTGGCACATTTTCTTTACCGATGCGTTACTTTACTGAGTAAAGCAACGCTTTCAAAAATCACCGTATGAGTGACGAACAACCGAAAATGTATTGTTTTATCACCTTCCGGACACAATGCGCTAAAGCGCTACTATATTATGCGTTACTGGTAACGAGTAACGCGTGCGTTACTCGCTACGAGTAATGCAATAACGCATCCGTTACTCGTTACCAGTAACGCAATAACGCATGCGTTACTGAGTTACCTGTAAAGAAACGGTAAAGCGACACCCCTACTAGGGACTTTTTGCATAAAAAAACCTTTTCACATTTCCTGACGGAGACCTGAGGCATCAAAAAATCGAAATTTTCTAATTTTGTAAAATAATACGACAGCAATGTTCAGAATTACATTTTATGTATCGGGATATGAAAGAAACCAAAAACATTGGGTAAGAATTTTCTTAACTAATGATCCTCTTCCTTTATTTCATTTCGGTAATTATACTTTCTGGGATACAGGGATGTCTGAGATACATCTGTTATTTTACAAAAAACTCGCTTTTTCATTTGGCATATGCTACTCATGTAACACAGAGTTCGAAACATCTTCATTAGAATCGCGATACTCGATTACCTAAGTATCATTATGTTTTTCATTGCTCATAAAGTGTCTAATAAAATATCAGTCTATAATAGCCATCTGTAACAAGAATTATTTTGACTGAATATCTGTTTGATGATACCATGCACTGTTAATCCAATTTATTTTCTAATTTATGAAAAATCGACTCGGAAAAGCGAAAACTATTTTGTACAATAAGACGACAGAAATGTTCAGAATTACATTTTATGTATCGGGATATGAAAGAAACCAAAAACATTGCGTAAGAATTTTCTTAACTAATGATCCTCCTCCTTTATTTCATTTCAGTAATTATACTTTCTGAGATACAGGCAACGCCAAAAGTACATCTGTTATTTTACAAAAAACTCACTTTTTCATTTTTTCTTATCAAGTTACGTCGTTCGTTGAAAACGTCTTCGTTATTATTGTTGATGTTAAAGAACGGTTAAAAATAAAATAATTGACGGACTTTTGTTATAAATAAAGTTTTCCCGTATAATTATTATCTATTGCAGCTTGACGAAGTTGCTGTTTACCCTCTATCGATAGATGATTCTTTTCTATATCAATGTAACGTATCCTAGCTGTTTTCATTACCTCAACAATCTTGTCAATGCAATTGTCAGTTAGTTCAGTTAAAGATAAATCAATCGCTCGAATTGTTTTATTTTTATCTGCTAGTAATAATTGCCACACGAATTGTGCTCCATCATCACCCAAGTGATTATCACAAAGGAAAAGGGCTTCCAGCGTTGAATTCCTTTCTAGTGCATTGCATAGATATTGACATCCTTTTGCTGTTATTGGACTACAAGACAGGTTGAGAATAATCCGAGTTTTATTATTTGCCATCTCCTTAGCGATCATTTTCATATCGTCATCATTTATTAGTTCATAAAATAAATTTAATGATGGCTTAGTTTTATTATCATCCAACAGTTTTTGTAACCATTCATTCTGATATAATGATGGGTTTTGTTCGTCTAGGGTAATTAACCGAAGCCTATTTTCATTGTCTTCCATCTTATTTGGATTGCGAATATCGTTGATTTTCGTTTATCATTTATTTTATGAAAAAAAACCTTTCTTTGTTCTAGCACAATGATGACGATAAGAAGAATGAGGTTCTTTGAAATGATTGCATATTGTTTTTATAAGTTGTTCTTTTGTCTTTTCTTTCGTTAAAGTTATAGGTCAGCAGACGTTGTTTTTTTTCTTTAAAGAAAGAAAAGACAAAAGAACAACTTATCAGAGCAGTATGCATTCATTCCAAAGAACCTTGAAAAAAGAACGGTTAAAAATAAAATAATTGACGTATTTTTCTTATAGATAAAGGTTGTCGTTACATATGATACCAGTCAGTTAGTTTTGACGAACTGTCTTTAAATCCTGAAGGAACAAAATGAAGAGAAAAATCTAGCAACGTTCATCTCCGACTCGCAGGACCCTTTTCTTATCAAGTTACGTCGTTCGTTGAAAACGTCTTTGTTATTATTGTTGATGTTAAACAACGGTTCAAAATAAAATAATTGACGTATTTTTGTTATAGATAAAGTGTTCCGGTATAATTATTATCTATAGCAGCTTGACGAAGTTGCTGTTTACCCTCTATCGATAGATGATTCTGTTCTATATCAATATAATGTATCCTGGCTTTTTTCGATCTATATCTTAGAAACGTGATAGATTCTATGCAAAACAGTACAGTGAACACAAATATAGTAAAAAAACTGTAAACATCTGTAACAAGAATTATTTTGACTGAATATCTGTTTGATGATACCATGCACTGTTAATCCAATTTATTTTCTAATTTATGAAAAATCGACTCGGAAAAGCGAAAACAATTTTATCACGTTTATAAAAGTCTATTTGGTTTTATAAGAAAGTTGAGAACATCCATTCTCTCTACTGTCTGAAAAATTAATTCGATTTTCAACAAAATTGGTTTTCTAAAAGGCTGAAAAATACAATGTGATATGTGTTTTGGTACAAATTATTGAAAATGTTTCTTCATTTTTCATAACGTAACAAAATCAGCACAGAAAATCAAACCATTATTTTGATCGTTGTTTTGCTACTGCATCAATAAATAAGCTGATATACATATATGCAACATTTATATATATATAAATGTATATCTGCCGACATGTCAACTTTCCTTGTGGCTTTTGTCAAAATGTGAATTTGACTAGTCGCTTCTCCCGTCGTGGAGAGTAGCCTATGTGATGATGACTAAAACTGGTGGTTATTTTCGGATTTCTTGAAAATAAATTCTACTTTCTTGATTTTCAATCTGCTGACATACGAATTCATGGGCGATTGTAAAAATAAAACAATTCGAGCGATTGATTTATGTTCAACTGAACTAACTGACAATTGCATTGCCAAGATTGTTGAGGTAATGAAATACGCTACGATACGTTATATTGATATAGAAAAGAATCATCTATCGATAGAGGGTAAACAGCAACTTCGTCAAGCTGCAATAGATAAAAATTATACGGGAAAACTTTATCTATAACAAAAATCCGTCAGTTATTTTATTTTTAACCGTTATGTACATCAACAATAATAACGAAGACGTTTTCAACGAACGACGTAACTTGATAAGAAAAAATGAACAACGTTGAACATCAAAATACTTTGTTATGTCAATAAATTTATTTTGTTTTTATATACTTATTTTAACTGTTGTCTATGGCGTGTACAGTTTTGTAACACACATATCTGAGCGCTACATGAGATGCTTGAGATAAGAAACTCTAGAAGTCATCACATGATACGGAAAAATGTATTGTGCATAAGTAAGAAATGTTTCTAAGTGATGGTAGTCTTACTCAAATGATCCCTGTACTTGATAAAAGAAGCTTCGCTAGCGGCTTACGTGCCATTTACCGATGATATAGGCGTTGAGTCTAACAAACTGTTGAACGATGCTTTATGAATCTTTACATCTGTTGGTTGTAGGGACGGGTTCTTGCATAGAACTGGATTCCTGATGCTTTCGATGCCGGATGGTACGCATAGCTACTTGACGATAGCTACAGAAGCTTGCTTCTTCCTTGTTTGACGTACTGATGGATTTGGACAACTGCTCTTGCAACTTCCATACAGACTACACGAACAGCGGTACTAGTAGAGATTGTGGACTTGAATATTCTCCTTATCTCATTCTCTTTCTGTCTCTTCGATTGTACTCTTTAAACAGGTTTCTTCACATTTTTGTCATGTCACAAATAAGAATTTACTCCATTCTCTATATTTGTCTTAACAGTTTGTGATGCGTTTCGCGTGTTCGGCGGAGATCGGTATGATATTCTACGGAGGCCTCTGAAGACACAGGATGACTCACCTGATGTTGACAGTATGTTGTTTTCACCATGTTCCTAAGTTATTTTACTGCAGCTAATCATGTCGCACACGTTGAAGTACTACTCACGCTAAAATCAACACTCGAGCAATCAGCTTCATATTAATAATGATCTTCTCTTTTACAACTTTCATTTTCCCAGTGAACCGATTTTGACTTTTCTCATGAAATACTCATTCTAAACCTAACACCAGTATAGCCAGTCGATTCCATCATCATTTAAGCTAGTGTGCCCCGAAATGATGACTCATCGCTGGTCTTCTTGCAAAATTAGTGGAATATCTGACTGGGATCATCTATAATTTGTACACTAACTTAAATAATGACGCAGTCGCCATCACTTCTCTAAGTGGAAATATTTCGATTTCAGTTGTCTCGACGCACAACCCTCGAGAACGCACTTGGGACCAAGTACTTCGTCTGCGTAATAAAGCCGATACTTGTCTTTTTCCAAGAAGTAAATTTACTTGTAAGTACTTGTCTTTACTTGCTAAGTACTTTCAGAAAGTACTTCTTAACAATAAGGCAAGTATTTTGATCGTTGACAAGTACTTAGCAAGTAATCAAGTACGTTCTCTAGGGAATGCATTTTGGCCATTGAACTACTTTTAAATTTATTGTAACTCCAGAATGATACATTATTTGTTCAATTGACAAACGTCAGTTAACTCATAACTGATTGCTCTTTCATATGAGATCAATTTCTCATGAAACGCTCATTCTAAACCCAACACCAGTATATGCATTCGATCCGACTCGTCGCTGGTCTTCTTACACAACTAGTGGAATATCTGGCTGGGGCCATTTATGGGCAGCTTTAATCCGTTTCTGTAAGCCAAAGAAGAGCATTCTTTATGATAATGTGAGTAGGTATCATCGGAAAAAGAAAGCGATGTCCTCAGTTATCTTTTGAATATCTTAGCAAGGAAAATAGCTAGAGAGTTCGGGTTTCCTCCATTTTGTAAAGAAAACTTCATGCTACCTTCTCATATGTGGAAAATGAAAAATACCAGATTTCCAGATGATGTATCTCAAGGATACAAAAGAGGGAGTTTTTCGGTATGACACTCTCTATTGACCTCTATGTTTAAATATTTCATGAGTAGCTTAGGATGTTCTGTATCAGTCTGCGAGCATCTGACCTCTCCAGCTATCACGGTTCTCAGATGGCAGGCATTTTTCTGGGGTCTACCTAACTTTGCATGCTATTAGGTCAGATAATCTGAGAGATAAAAGGGAACATAGGTTATCAGTCATACTAAATCTCGTGGCAATGTTTATTTTTCGAGTAAATGAACTCATTTTTGCCTATTTTCATGAAGAAATCCTTACTGCACAACGGGCGGTCCATAAGTATTAGTCCCATTTCCCGTTGTAATGTAGCTAAGTATATGTAATTTTTGACGCTTATCATGACTCTCATATTCAATGAGACCATCTGACCTTTTTGAACGAATCTCTGAAATCTGAGTCTTTTCAAAGCCTTAGGAACTTCTGATATAGCCATATGATAGAGCATATTGAGTTACCTGTGATTACAAGTTATTATGTCTAAAAATGATTTCTTTTGACTCACATATACAATTTTTCTATACGAGTTTCTTGTTCCATTTTATTTTCATCTGTAAGTTCCTGATCTCTAATACTTTGAACATTATATCTCTGATAAATTCGTTTCGTTTCAATTTTACTCATGTTAGTTGACAGGATAATATTCAGAGATATCTAGCTAAGCTAAATTAGATGGACGTCGATTAACTAAGACTAGGAACTAAGAAAATAATTCTAAATTATGGGTACTTTCATTCTGAGTTTCGTATGACGAAGACATAAGGATGTTGTCGATCATACTATAGAGGTGTTCAAGGAGACTAGCAGCCTTTTTGTCTCCACAACACGTCAAACACACAAGAAACGGTAAGCTCTCTTTGACGATCGATAACATGTGTAATTACAGCAACCGAGGCAAAAATCAGTATCTCAAAATCTATACTGCGGATTAGTCTGAAACTTTTGGCATAACTATCCGATAACAAGATCTGTTTGAGAAAAGATTTCATTGCTCAACCCTGTACAGGAGCTGAAAGATGAAAAAATTAATGATGCATAAGTTTCGCTTATCTAGACAATGATTTGGCTATATCTCGACAACGAAGACCGATGTTCCGAATTATTTTAGGCTTTTCTAGTCTCATCGAGGCTTGTGGTCAAAAGATGAGATTAGAAGCGAGAAGGCAGCTGGAGACCTTACGATATCGGCACCCTCAAGCAAACGCTATTAATTAGTCGATTGTCAAAACGGACTCACGCCCCGCCAAGGGTCAGCGAATCCCAGACGAACGTTTCTTGTATATATATATTATAAAAGAAAAATAAAGCATTCCATTTCATCAGAAACAGTGTGTATAACGTTGTATTTTCAATGGGTTTCAACGTTTCATTGGTTGAAATACATTTGGAAAACTGTTAACTAAAAATAGCACTAGCATTAAATAAATAAAGTTTATATTAGCACTAGCTTTAAAGTTTAACATAAGCAAGAAGTTTTTCTTCGTTATGTCTTCGCCAAGTAGTCTGACTAAGGCTTTGATTTATTCAATACCTTTATCCAATTACTCATCCACTATTCTAACTGAGTCTATAGAGTATA